CCTGTGGGCCCCTGTAGTTTGCCAAGTTGCTTTGTTGACCTTGTTCAGATCATTTATCACAAGATGGAGACTTTTGTCTTCTCAGGCTCACAGGATGAAATGAAGAAGGTAAAGAAATGAGTGTTGGAGGGAAATGTTGGATCCAGGGTTTTCAACATCGACCATGTGGGAACATTTTAAAAACAAACAAACATGAAATACTAATACATAAAGTTGGACTGTCTCATGTGACTCAGCTCGTTTCAGTAGCATGTTTAGTTGGTGTGTTTGTTTGCATCACATGCAGTGTGTGTGTCTTCTTACAGCCGCTGTTGCCTGGATACCGTCTGTCATCTCCACCTGAGCCTGTTCGTATGGAGAACTGAACCCACCTTAACGAGTGAAGACTGCAGCAGAGGATTAAAACCAGCTTCATCTGTGATGCTCTGAGCTGCAGAAGGACACATCTGATTTTTTGAAAACTTATCACAACAGCTGAAGAAGCTGTTTAACTGAACTTACAGACGATCTAAAGTTTTTCTGCTGCCGTAATCAAAACCAGAGCTCTGCTGTCGCAAATCTCTTTGTGCAGAAGCTGTTTACATGTGATTTCCTCAGTTTACTGACTTCTCATGTGAACATCACAGAAGCCGTTCATGACCTAAATCTTATTAAGTTCAACCCAAAAGCTGCCAGCAGCTTTGAAAAGAAGATTAAAAACCAAGCAAACACCACGACAATGACATGAGGCACCAGTCAGAAGCTGCAAAAACGGAAAGAATCAACGTTTAGATGGTCCCTGAATGGATCATGTGGGATTCTCAGTTCAATAGAGAAAATAAATCAAATCTGACCTTAATAAAGTGATTTAAACAGACTCTGCAGGAGACCAGAGAGTCTGAGACAAAATCCAACCTACTGGATCAATGAATAAATGCAGCACGGATCAGAACCGGAGGACAGAGGAGCCAGTTGGTGGAGATACATTCAGCTGATGGTGGAACATTTTCTACAGCTGATGAGCAGAGCAGAGAGGAAACGTCTGGAGACATGGAGATAGTTCAACAATTCTGTAGGACGAGGAGACGACATTAGTTTCAGGGTTTAGCATCTGGAAACATGTTGGACATCCATCCATCATCTCTACATACTGTATCCTCTGTAGGGCATCGGGGGGCGGAGCCTATCCCAGCTGACTCAGGGTGAAGGCAGGTTCACCTGGACAGGTAACCAGTCTATCACAGGGCTACACTTAGAGACAGACAACCAAGCACACTCACATTCACACCTACGGACAATTTACAATCACCAATTAACCTCAGCATGTTTCTGGACTGTGGGAGGAAGCCGGAGAACCCGGAGAGAACCCACGCTGCACGGGGAGAACATGGAGACTCCACGCAGAGAGATCCCACGACCAGATTCTAGCCAGGTCCGTCTAGCTGTGAGGCCACAGTGAGACCCACTGCTTCACCGTGTCGCCCATGTGTCAGACGTGTTGATTCAGTTTTTTCCTTCAATTTTTACAAAACAAATACGAAGCCTAACCCTTTTGTTTCTTCTCTCTGGTCTCCATCGTCTGACTGAGTCCTGCTGACAGAAGACGTCTCTGAGTTCTGTCTCCTCCTTCATGTGGTTCTGGTTCCACAGAGCTGCAGGACTTTAGAGAAACATGAACCAGTGAAGGAGCAGGAGAAGCAAAACAGCAGCCAGAAATTGATGCAGGAATTCATACAGTTAATACAGCGATGAAAGAAAAAGTCTGCACAACTTTGGATAAACCAGTCTCTACATGAAACATGAATGAATGAATAACTGATGTTCTGCTCTGGAGTTGTGTAGAAACCGTGTGACTGTAAGTGATGAAGCATCAGGTGATCTAGTTTGGTGGAAAGTCTTCACTCTGAAATGTTCCATCAGAAACGCTGAGCAGTGAAATAAACAGCTGACAGATCAGTTACCAGAATGTTCTGCACAGTCTGGAACTGAAGCCGAACAGTGACGTGACCGACTCATTTAAAACAGTCGTCTGTGTGATTACCTGTCCCGCCCACGAGCTGTCTCAGCCAATAGGACGCTGCAGCAGAGAAGCTACCTGCCAGCAGCAGCTGACCCGCTATTGTCCTGCAGCGTTGGTTCTGACAGCAGCAGTCCGTTATTCAGTCCATGGATGCAGCGTCGTGCTTCTGGAGGAAAATCTGCTGAACTACCTCACAGACGCACCACAAAGCCAGAGTGTGAAGAGCCGCCGCTGACCGGACGTCCTGGTGCTGAGCAGCAGCATGTGGGAGGAGAACTCTGACATCGAGCAGTAAGTCACCGCAGAAGTTCTTCATCTCCTGATAGCCCACAACAGACAGAAACTCAAACATTTAAGGCTTAAACTGAGCAACAGAGCAGATTAAACAACCAACATTCAAGGCTGAATGTCTGGACTTACGTTTGCAGCTGTTGAATGTCGTTAAATGAGCCCCACTCACAGGTACTTCCCACAGCGTTAGGTAGGTGTTCAGTCAGCTTGTTCTCATTCACTTTTAACCTTCTGGACCACAAATGGTCCATGTTTCAGCATCAAGTCCTGCAGCTCTCTGGAACCAGAACCACATGAAGGAGGAGACAGAAGGAGGAGACGTCTTCTTTATTATTATTACATCTTTTTTTTTCACAAAACACAATCATCCACATCCATCTAGTCCATCCATCACAGTTTTCCTCTGTGCACACTTGCCCCCCCAAAGAACAAACAACTAAATATATATATAAACTAAGCACAGGGGCATATAGCTGCATGAAGTATATGTCAGCAGTAATTCAGCGTTCAGCATACAGACTCAAACGTACTCGTCCCAACTATGGTATGAGCTGGTAACGGACTGAACGGTCCTTAGTTCTTCTGAGGAAGGTTCTCCAAACCAGAGAAGGGAGGGAACCAAAATCCATGAAAAAGATGTCCATGGTTGTGTTTTTACAAGGTTAGCTTCTCTAAAGGTAGAAATGTCAGGAGCTGGTCAAGAAAATCTGAAAAATCTTTTTAAAAAAGTCTTCTTTGCAAAATAAGTGACCAAATGCATTTTTTGTTATCAACTGTAAATTATATAGTAAATATAAACTCTTGCTTTAATCAAATTTTATATCCAAGACTGACTGTGTAAAGAATGAACCGAGTTCCAACAGCTTTTCAAAGGTCGAGTATGCATGAATCAGCCCTCCAGCTTTTTACACATTAGTGATACATCCTTCAATATTTTATGCATTTTTGTTGGAGTTCAGTAGAATCTGTGGATGAATCTGAAACTAGCTTCCTGAAGTTTATGACTTGGAAATGGAAAATGTTTTTCCTTCAGAGATATTTAACCAGGTGTTGTCGTCTGAAGTTCTCCCAAATGTCAAATTCACTAATTTGTCCTTTTATTGTGTTTGGGGGTGAAGTACCTTCAGCTTCAGATCGCCCAAGTCATCACTTGTTTTCCTTAAGAAGTGAATAAGTAATGCTCCAAATTTGTATATATTTTTTTAAGGATTTTTATATTTTGATCCAAAATCAATAAATGATTTCAACTGCATGTTTAGCTTTAGCAAGTCTTTAAATTGTGTTACACCAGAGTTTGTCCACTGACCTAAACTGATCACTGAAATTTCAGAGTTCAAGTCTGGATTTTGAAAAGTCAGAGAATAAATCGAGGTACAGGAAGTGATTCCAATGTTTTTCTACAGTCTTTCCACGTTTGCAGGGTATTGAAAACAGAGAAGCATTTGTCCATGTTGTTTATATTTTCAAAGTGATTTATGAATGGGAAGGAGACGAGAGGCAGAGGTTCAAATGATTTTGCTTCCATCTGGACCCACAAAGATCCGAGTCTCTCCATCGACCAAGACATTAGAGTCCTTAGTTGGGCTGGCTGAAATCATTGTGAAGGTTCGGCAAACCAAGACCTCCCAATGATTCAGGCTTCAGAAGAGTCATTAGATTAATCTGAGGTTTTTTGTTAATCCAAGTGAACCTTGAGAGACAATTATTAATTTTAAAAAACTCCCCAGATCCCGAGATGTCTTCTGTCAGTAGGACTCAGAACCATAGAAACCAGCAAAGAAACGTTTTGTAGATATTTGTCCAAAAATGTGAAAACCGGGAATCAACGTGTCCGCACTGATCAACGCTGCATCGCTCAGCTCGGGTCCGATCAGGTTTATTACATCCATTTTCTTTTTGAATACTTTTCCAGTGATGGACCCAGCGCTCCAGTCATTGGTGGTTCTTCAGTTAAAGGCTCCTAAATGGATTCTCTTTTGGCCGCTTGGATCCTGTTTGTGTAGGTAGTGAACAGTGTTTGTGTTTCTCCGTCTACATGTCGACCAGCGATGTCGGCCATCAGCTGGACTACTCGCCGGTGTCGTGGCGTGAATATTTTGACCAGATGGAGGACGTTGCCGTAGGACCGACCGACAGCCGGGACTTCTTCAGGATCTATAAAGCAGGAAGTGACGGACCACTGCTGGTTCTTCTGCATGGAGGAGGACACTCGGCTCTGTCCTGGGCCGTCTTCACCGTGAGTCACAGATTTAATGGCTGGCTGACTTATTGATGCCTCTGACTGATAGCTAACAGCGTTTTGGGGTTCTCTGTGCTTCAGACGGCCATCGCCAGCAGAGTGACCTGCAGGGTTCTGGCCATGGACCTCCGAGGTCACGGTGAAGAAGTTAAAACGTGCATCACCTCATCATAAAATGCTGGTGGTAGAGATTTATTTGATAACTGTGTTCAGGAGAATATCTGGAATCTGGAAATATGATAAAAATATCAGGAGACTGTATATGTGCTGAAACAGCAGCACCCTAAACTGCCTGCAGGGTTCGGGTTCGGGTTTAGGTGAACCAGGACAACGTCCCTATGATTACATCTGATGCAAAGTATTTTTTCTTGTCAACGCTTTGTTGCAGAGACGAGCATGATTGTAAAGATCCAGTCAGTCGTTTCATTTGATATGTTTGAGTCCGTGGTCAGGCTTCCAAGGATTCACGTTTATTTGGTTGTTTCCAGTAAACAGCTGAAGTTACGACACAGTTCAGGCATCCTGTGGTAACTTCACCGGGTTTCCGGTGACGTATCCTCCCGTAAGGCCAAGTAAAATCATGTCCTTCTGGGTCATTTTGTTCTGAGGTTTTTGTCTCTGTTAAGGTGACACTCTTGTCCGCCAATCAGACGACTTCTCAACTCAGACTATGTCCAGGTAACAGAACCAAACAAACACCAACGAAGGCTTCCACCAATCAGATTACCTTCAGCAGTTCACCTACAAACTATGACTGAGCGGCTGTTATCACCCTCAGCGATGTGGCCAGTGTGATTCGAGCTTGCTACGGTGAGACTCCTCCCCCCATTGTCCTGATTGGCCACGGCGTTGGTGGGGCGATCGCAGTGCACACAGCGAGCAACATGCTGCTTCCTGCCATTGTGGGCCTGGTGGCGATAGACGTGGTGGAGGGTGAGCTGAGTGACTTCAGACCAGAGGTGTTTCTGAACTTGGATGTTCTGATGTTCGTGATGGTCACTGTTCTTCTGGTCCTCCTGCAGGCAGCGCCATGGATGCACTCCACAGCATCCAGAACTTCCTGAAGGGACGACCCAAGTCCTTCAAGTCCATGGACCACGCAATAGAGTGGAGGTGAGGATCTGAGGTTCACGCTTTCAAGGAGTTTATATCTGGAGGAAATCTTTCGTTTACACTCAGCCACATAAATGTGTGTCTGTGGGTCGGATCCTGTCTGGATTTCCAGGGCTGCATTAAAACTGGAATCTGCTCGTCTTGAGTCCAAAAACAGCTGCTAATGCACCAGAGGCAGCTTGGCTTCTTTCAGGATCACCAGAAGAAGAGCAGCTCTATTTACAGAGGTTGACAGAAACAGCTTGCTAACTCCTGTCCGTAAACACACACCACATGAAGCCGTGTTCAGAGGGTGGATTCATCTGAGCCACCTGCAATCTGGATTTACAGATGGATGCAGCCAGAACTGGGGTGACCCACTGGGTTTTTTTCGCTTCAGGTTGGAACCATCTCTTCTGTTTAGAACCAGGACATTCAAAACAGCTCAGGGTTCTAACCTTTACCCCTCTGAACACACTGATACTCCAGACCAAAGCAGCAGTAGCTAGCGTTAGCCACTTCAGCTCCACGGTGCTAATAGGCAGGGTATGGTATTTAAGGACTAGTACACCTGTGGGCTCTTGTTAGTGAACCTCATGAACCACCAACACAGAGCTGCATGTTGGAGAAAAAAGTCTGAATCTTCTAATCAGAAGTTTAGGAGACAACTGCAGTAGCACTTCATTCTATTCCCTCACAGTAATCAGATTACTTCTGATAGCAGAGTATCTGCTCTGATATCAGATTACAAACTACCAGCTCTGAACTTCAGGCCCCACAGCAGGAACTAAACTACAGTGAGTCCATCTCTGGTTCCTTCAGTCTTCATCTGCTGACAGACTCAGTCCTCCTCAGCATGGAGGAGACCAGAGTCCACTAAGTTCTGCTCACATGTTCTGATGGAGGAGACCAGGGTCCACTAAGTTCTGCTCTCTGCTGGAGGGGTTGTGCTGCTCTACCTTTCTCTGGAAAACACCTCAAAGGGCTTCTGTTGGATTCAGCTCATGACTCACACTGTCCAGGTTCTGGTTCCACTTGGTTCTGCTGTAGAAGCTCTTGATGATGTTGTTCTCTGGATGTTCTCCTGCTGGAATGTTCCTCTTCTTCATCTGGTCAGCCAGCGTCCTGGTTCATCCTCAGACATTCATGGAGCTTCTAGAAACATCATCAACACCTTCTGCCCTCATGCAGCCCCACATCATGATGCTGCCACCTCCGTGCTTCACTGTCAGGACCATGCATCCACTGTGGTGGTCCTGGTCAGGTTCACACCAAACATCTGGACTTCATGTGAGCCCAACACATTGATCTCCATCTGACCAGAGGATGTTCTCCAGCATCCATCAGGCTTCTGTTCATGTTCTCTGGTGAACTTTGATGTGGAAGTTTAGCTGTGAGCAGCTCTGTGGAAACTTTAATGAGCACCAGTAAACCAGGACTGGGTGGTTCAGTGTCTTCATGGTTCCATGTGGAGCTTCTCTCCTGCTCTCTGTGCTCACATCATTTTATTGCAGCTCTATACACTGCTCTCATTTCCAGATGGTTCTGTTGTCAGACAGCAGAACCAGGATGAAACAGTGGACCTCCTCCAGACGACATGTTGACCAGCATCACTTCATTTAAACCTGATTTTATGACGTCGTCTGACAACAAACACAGGAGCTGAAACAACCATGAGCTGAGAGTTCCCTCAGATTTACTGTAAAATGATCCTCAGAGAGGAAGTCAGAGGATAGAAAGTCCTGCTGTCACTCATCCATCTGTCAATCACAGACAGCCTTCTTCCTGAAGGGGGCGGTGCCAACAACAGGGGGCGGGGTTGTAGCAGGAGGCGGGGCCAGCAGCAGCTCATTTAAAGCTACAGACAGTGACAGAGTTCAAAATAAAAGCAGGATGATGGAGTCATGGAGGAACGAAGCCTCTCTGACTGAATCACTGAAGGAACCTCCTGAGAAACTTTCATTAATCTGCTGAAAGGGAACAATGTGGAGCTTTAAACAAAACTTCAAATAAAGTGCAAGACCGATGCACACACAACAATCAAAACTGGTCAAAAACTGGTAAATCACTTTTCTCTTTGTTTGCCTTTCAGCGTGAAGAGCGGTCAAATCAGAAACCTGGAATCTGCCAGAGTCTCAATGGTTGGTCAGATAAAGAGGTAGGCGACCTGAATGCTGATTGGTTCGCCTCTCAGCTCGTCTTTCCAGTTCGGAAGCAGATTTCAGATGATACAGAATATAAAGTATGTGAGGGAACCGTTGTATGCTTTCACCTCCTGCTGCCTCCTCAGACAGTTTTCTCTGTCTTCTGACTGACCTTTGCTAGATGTGAGGTGGAGGAAGTGGACTCTCTGGAACAGCCCAGTCCAGCGACCGACATGGTTGTCGAGCGAAACGAAGAGTTCTATGACCAGAGCTACGTGAACGACAAAGAGAACGCAGCATCAGAGGTACGACGACCGCACAGAGACACTGATGTACAGAAACATTTAACTGGCTTACAGTAATTAACAACTGATCACAGGGTTCAGCTTATATTGTTGATTCTTGTTGTCTATTAATGCGTATTTAAGGGGTGCAATTAATCACGACTAAAGCACTTTGGCCAATCCATGGACTGACATTCCCTGAAGCCCAGACTTTGACATTAACCTTCAGCACTGGAGCCTGAGATGTCCAGACATGCAGCTGATTGTTGGACTTGAGGAGACTCATCATTGAGCTGCATTCTCGACAATACTTTTCAGCCTGTTCATGTTTATCAGGTATTGGCGGAACTGCTCAATCTGGATACCCATAAATCTGCTGGACTGGATGGGCTAAACCCAATCTTTTTAAAAGCTGGTACCCATGTCATTGCGCCTCCTATTTGTGACTTGTTTAACTGCTCGCTGCAAACAGGAGTTTTCCCACAGGACTGGAAATCTGCTGCTGTTGTCCCACTATTCAAAGGAGGAGATAATGCTGACCTGAACTGCAACAGACCTATTTCCATTTTGCCCTGCCTTGCCAAAGTGTTTGAAAAACTTATCAACAAACAGCTTGTAGGCCATCCAGAAACCTACAAAGCCTTCAACCCTCTACAGTCTGGCTGTAGATCAGGCCACAGTTGCATCACTGCCACGATGAAAGTGGTTAATGACATTATCTGTGCCCTTGACAACAAGGAATACTGTGCTGCTGTGTTTGTTGATCTATCTAAAGCTTTTGATTATGTTGACCACCCCATCTTGCTGGAAAGGCTAAGAAACACTGGTCTCTCTGAAACCTGTGTCTCCTGGTTCAGTAGCTACTGTTCTGGGCGCTTACAGTCCATAAGGATGGAGGGTCTTCTCTCGGCCCCACTACCTCTTCACAAAGGTGTCCCCCAAGGTTCCATACTAGGCCCAACACTATTCAGCATTTACATTAACAACATAACCCATGCTATAGACAACACCCACATTTATCTGTATGCCGACGACACCATTGTTTATACATCTATCGCCTCCCTCAATGACACACTGTCCAATCTGCAAACTGCATTCAGTAACACCCAACATGCCTTCTCTGACCTTCTGTTATCACTAAACACAAACAAAACAAAATGTATGATCTTCAATTAAAACCTCCCACAGATCCAGTTCCCAATCAACATCATCTCCTTGGATGGATCTATAATCGACTTCGTCAATAACTACAAGTATTTAGGTATCTGGCTCGACCCCTGCCTCTCTTTTGAAATCCACATCAACTCTGCTCGCTAAAGTCAAAAACAGAATTGGTTTTCTATATTGTAATAAATCCTCATTCACACGATCCGCTAAACACCTCCTGGTCAAAACGACAGTACTTCTGATGTTTGACTACGGTGACATACTTTATAGATCCACATCCAAATCCCTCCTCCATAAACTGGACACTATCCACCACACGGCCATCCGTTTTGTCACACCTTCACGACTCACCACTGCACTCTGTCCAGCCTGGTTAACCGGCCTTCTCTTCACTCCCGCAGGCAAACCCATTGGTATTTGTTCATTTATAAAACTATCATAGGTCAAACTCCGGCATACCTACGTTCACTCCTCATCACCCGTCACATCAGCCGCTCACTTCGCAACAACAACCTCATCCACCTCCTCATCCCCAAAGCCTGCACTGTCTTTGGCCGCTATTCATTTCAGTTTTCTGCAGCTCTCAACTGGAACCACTTACAAAAAACAATCAAACTCAGTGTCTTTATACCTTTATCTTCTTCTAAAAATAAGGTGAAGGAACTATTTGCCGAGTCCTGTACCTGCTTTTAGTGTATTTTATCTTCAAAGCCTTTTATTGTTATGTTTTGTTTGTGTATTGTTTTTTATAGATGTATTGCCTTTATTGTATTTTCTGCTCTGTGCTGCCTCTTGGCCAGGTCCTTATTGTAAATTAGAATCTTTTCTCAATTAACCCACCTGGTTAAATAAAGGGGGAAAAAACACAAAAAACACCCACAAAAACACTGCCTACATGACTTCCACTGACTTTTACTCCCCACAACTGGTCAAACTTAGAGTTTTGTCACAGATACAAACAGAGACTCTTTAACACCGAGCCAGCGCTGGATAAAACCTGTGACGGCACTTTCTTGTAACTATTCACTAAATTGACCATTTATTTTGGATAACTTGAAATGCACCAACATACCCACACGTCTGTTTCTGTTTCCCTGACTATGGATCATTTACTGTTTGTATCCATGTGTTTGCTGTCAGAGTGTGTTCAGGTGGCGTATAGACCTGTCCAAGTCAGAGAAGTACTGGGACGGCTGGTTCAGAGGAACCTCCAACCTCTTCCTGTCCTGCAACCTGCCCAAACTGCTGCTGCTGGCAGGTACCAGTCTTACGCAGTTCAATCAAGCATTTTTAAAGTGTTTCTACTCAACAGTGACTGAGCTTCACAGTTTTTTAATGCTGATTGTTCCTTATCTTACACGTGTTTGTTGTAGTCACCATCTGGGATTAGGGGTCCCATCAGAACACACCAGTAGGGTCGAGTGGGTAAGATGAGCCTATGGGTATGTGGAGCCGCCCCGGTCTCTAGAAAACCATAGAAGAAACTGGTCATGTGACCAAACATGTTTAAAGAGGTGTCCATTAAAGTCTCCCAGTGAAGAGAAGGAGCACGTAACGTACCAGGTGGACACGCTTTGGGTTCAATCTTGGTTTTTGCTGTTCAGTCTAAATGTTTCATATTCATAGTTTTTGAGTGTTGTGTCTGAACAGTTATTGGAGACATTTGAAACTATTTTGCACATGTTAGTGCATCAGTAAGCTACAATCTGAGACTAAGCTGTTAGCATGAAGTTAACTGTCTGGATGATGCACTCTGATTAAAGTGGTGGCAGTGGGTTGGTTGTCACCGGCTAATCTAACCCTCATCTGGATGGAAGGGCAACGTTCACCTTCATGGAGAAGGATGAGGGACTCATCCATAGAAAGCAGGTGATCAAGACACTACCAGTTTAATTCTGGGTTGGTCTGGTTTTGTAAGAATGACAGTAAAACGTTTGAACATGACTTTGTCGTCTGAGGGCCTCATGGAAGGACTCGGGCATTTCATGTTGGACATTTTATCTTTAAATACAACTTTCAAGATTTGGTACTGAACCTGTCTTGCTTTGATATCGCATTATTTGAGGGATAGAATTTGTACTTTAACATAACTGATGGCACATTTACCCCAACGGATTTTCTCCAAAGGGCTCAATTCAGCCCTTGATGGGGGCAGGTTGAGCCAAGGAAAGCCATACTTTAAAAACAGTTTCTGTTTGCTCCAAACCAGTTTTTGGCAGAGATGCCCCACATCCTGAAGTATGTAGACATGTTTTATTTTGACTGTCATGCCCCCACTGTAAAGACACCTCGATCAGAACTGGCTCATCTTACATCATTCTGACCTGCTTGTTTTCTCTCAGTGTAAAAGCTTTTTAAAATGACTTTTTCACACTTACATTTTCAGGAATCGACCGACTGGACAGAGATCTGACAATTGGCCAGATGCAAGGTGAGACTTCAGAAGTTTGGATTTTAAACGAAGTTGTGCTGTGGTCGTTGCTGTGCTGCTGCATGTAGAACCAGCCACCACTTCCTGTTCAGCTCCGTTCTGGAAACACAGAAGGAAATTCTCAGAACATCACAGTTACTGCCGAGCCGCTCAGACGTTCTTCTTGGTACTCAAAGATTCTCAACATTTGGTTCTTGATGCTGGTTTCAGTTTGCTTTAAAAGGAGCTTGGTCGGATTCAAAAACATAACTCACAGCTCATACGTGATTGGAGGAATCGTTCATAACATGAACACAAGTTCAAGTTATTGAGTATGAGGCTTTATGATAACAAATATAAGTCATCAGAACACCAGGTGCTTGTGGTCCTCATCCTGCCAGGAGCAGAGATAAGAAATGACCTGAAGATGTTCAAATTCTAAACTAACAGGCACGAAAACTGGACTTTACCGAGTCTGGTCGTCTGCTCAGTGTTCTGTCTGAAGGCTGACTGAACCTGAAAGACGCCGCTGTGACGTCACCTGTCCGTTGTTCTCCATCTTGAAGCCACCAGTTTGGAATTTGGTCGGACGTAAAGCCCAAGTTTTGAATCTGATGAGGAACTGTAATACAGAGATAGTCCGCCCCGATCAGAACCTGCTTTGTCTTATAGTTTCCTCTAAACGGGTCGATCAGTTCCCATATGAGCAGCATGCTGTGTTGAAGACGACTTAAAACCAGCGACTGAGAACAGAAAAATGTGGACTGAGGATCAAGAGAAAAGTAGATTCATTTTCTGATAGACTTCTGTTCACATTTGTGACCTCAGGCCATTTGGTTTCGGTGACGGGTTCTGGTTTTATAGAATAGAATAGAAAAATACTTTATTTATCCCAGTCTGGGAAATTACTGTGGTACAGCAGCAAGAGAAAAACACCAATCCCAACAGAAAAAGAGCTAAAGTTAAATACTATTTAAAAAATTAAAAATAAAAATAAGTGAATAAAATAAAATAAATAAAACAACTGCACAAAATGTGCAAATTGAAAAAACTGTGCAAAGACAGAGGGTTTTACAGAGCAGAGGGCTGAGAACGCTCTCTGCCAGCCAGAGGTGAGGTGTTGTATAAAGTCTGTAATGAATACCAACACATGTTTTGCACATATTCTGTCTCGGGGTCCAACGGACCCCCAAAGACCTTCTACGTGTGAAACATGAAGGTCCTGAACAGGGTTCATGCAATCTGAGCTTCAGGAAACCACAGCAGGGAAAACTGAACATGAATGCAGACGTTTGTAAAAATGTAAATGAATATAATCAATTATTAACCTTTCAGTAGCTTTTTACGACTGCTTGAACTGAGGAGCTACTAAAGATAAAACCTGAAGTTTTCAGTTATTTCTCATCATGTCATTGATTCAGAATCTGTGATATCGACACTAAAATATTGAAAACGATCTCTGATTATGGGGGAGTTAAAATATGAAAAACAATGAAGCCGTCATGAGAAAGTTCCATCGTTCACATTAATAAAAACCCGATCATGCACAAGTCCAGTAGTGGTACTGAACGTCAGAACCGATTGAGCAGGTTTGAAAAGTTGCTCTACAGAACTGAAGTACTGGTGGCAAAGTCGAAGCCAAGCAGAAGGCAGTGGTTTAAAATGGTTCTGTAAGTATAGAACCAACCTGTTCTAATGTTGTCCCACGTTGTAGGCTGAACAAACAGCGAGTTCTGGTCCACATACTGGAGAGAAGCTCTTCAGCAGCTCCAATGTTCATGTTCAGACTTTCTACGAATATTTTAGCTTTTGTGGTTCAACTTGTCAAAGCTGCTCAATCAGTTCAAGTAAAAAAGAAAAGAAAAATGATTCTTGTGACCAGGTACGTATGATGACCAACAAGTCCACCAGGTGTGTCAGAAGGTTCCAGGACTGGTGTCACAACAGATCGATTTCAAACCCAGACTACCAGTGTTCTCCTTCCCAGTAATCCTCCTGGAGTCTACCACCCTCCTCCAGCCTTCTCTTCACGCCGCCATGCTCTCCTGGAAGGATTCTCCAGGATCCTCTCAGCTCCGTCCTCACAGCCATCTTGATGTCGTCCACGTCTTCTAAACGGGTCTCCTTGATGAGCCCTTGAGCTTGGGGAAGAGGAACCAACCCCACGGAGCCAGGTGGGGTGAG